TTTTCGCCAAAGAAGACAATAAATTGCTGTTGATAATTAATAAATATGTCAAAATTATGACGAAAAGAAGGCAAAATAGAGCGTGAGGTCTGGCGGTTTGCAAAAAGATAAAGTTCCTCACATACGATTTTCTTCATAAGTCGCAGCCAAGTATGTTATGTGAAAAAAAAACAACGATATCCTGTTAATTCAAGCCAAGCAAATGGCCTCTACATGCTCCAAATTATCATAAAACCATTTGAATTTCGCGCTAATAGCGATTTAGCCAATGAAGTAGCTCATGCAGATAAATTTAATTATCACGTTTCTGCTTATCGGCTACTAACGGCTCCAGAAGCCGCGGCCCTATTGTTCTCGCTATCGCTCTTAGCCGGAGCGTTACATATAATTATAATTATAAGTATAATAACAACCAGGGTATCTAAAAGATAGTGATGTGGCGGTACATTCTGTTGATAGTGACATGTTTTGCGCATTGATTCATCCACCTACGCGTTTATCTGTCCTTGTATGCATCAACTTCATGCATGATGACGCATCGATGGCGAGGTGCGACAAGGGATCGTGACCAAAAAGCACGTAGTGATCTGAACTATGTTTGTACATAAAACGATACACATCAAGCTCCCCTTTACAAGATCGCGAAAATCGAAAGATGTGAAAATTGTAGGAGCAGAAATCTAACTATTAAATTCTGTTCTGGTAGGCATTAAATGTCACTAGAATGTTGACAGTCTGTGTCGAGGACGCGTCCATCGCGACGTGTGAAAATGCTAATGAAATGAAATTAACGTGTTGTACGGTTTCGTTTGTTTTAATTATTCTACAAGCTTAAGTAACGACGATTTCTCTTCATTTAAGAATTTGACCGAGGAGACAAGACGGCTAAAAAATGACATGCTAAGTTATAAATTAAGATGTCTCAATTAATCGTTCAGATTTACAATCTTTCACATACTGCATTAACAACGACAACAAGAGTTGTTAAAGTCAAGCACGATCTCCTTCACACCGCTTTACGGGTAAATCAGAGCAAACTTTCTCACCGAAATCCACGCGAAAAAGGACAACGGCTCGACGAGTGTGACATCCTCGTGTTCGTGGCGCAATGCACTCTGGTAAAAATCCCAAATCCACATCATTTAGCAAGCGTCACAAACATATTGCAAGATATGGCAACGGGCGCGCGTGCCTGAAAACAAAGCCTATCGGCTTGAGTGTGCGCCAAGGCGAAAAGTCAAGTCCTTAGTCCCTGGCAGCGATCGTGGTAATCATGTGGTTAAGAGCCTCTACTAATCACAGTTGCTTTCAGAGCAAATGTTTGTTCCATGTCAATAAATAAAGAAATAAATGTATTAATAAATTACTAAAGCAAGTGGACTGGACTAGTTCTCGTTCATTTTATTCGATCGACAGAACTGTTTCGTGGGAGTGTTTACCACTCGTCAGGATCATATAGAGTTCCCTTAGCTTGAAGTCACACTTACTTTCACAATACTAGGTGTTTTTCAGTAAAAATTTGTTTGCGTGCCTATTAATTTAGCTAAAACTTAGTAAGGTCCATAATATTATTTTAATGGTTATAATACCTGTTGTTTTTTTCCTTTTCAGACCACCTTTCATTATGACTCAGGGTACTGGAGCAATAAAACTGAATACAACATTCCTGGAGGGGTGACTTGGTTTGACTCACAAGAGACCAAGTTACCGACCTACTGAAACACTTCTTTCTCTAAGATCTGCCTTGGTATGAAGATCGGCCGACAAATGAGTTTCACCGTCGTCAACAGGCAGGCCAACTCCCTCTTCTCATTGATCGCTGACGGGGAATACACTAACACGTCACTGGGCCTTAACGCATGGAAGACTCTGATTGGTTCCCAGGCCTCCTNGCGCGTGCCTGAAAACAAAGCCTATCGGCTTGAGTGTGCGCCAAGGCGAAAAGTCAAGTCCTTAGTCCCTGGCAGCGATCGTGGTAATCATGTGGTTAAGAGCCTCTACTAATCACAGTTGCTTTCAGAGCAAATGTTTGTTCCATGTCAATAAATAAAGAAATAAATGTATTAATAAATTACTAAAGCAAGTGGACTGGACTATTTCTCGTTCATTTTATTCGATCGACAGAACTGTTTCGTGGGAGTGTTTACCACTCGTCAGGATCTAGATGACAACGTTAATTAGTTGGTTCATATAGAGTTCCCTTAGCTTGAAGTCACACGTGCTTTCACAATACTAGGTGTTTTTCAGTAAAAATTTGTTTGCGTGCCTATTAATTTAACTAAAACTTAGTAAGGTCCATAATATTATTTTAATGGTTATAATACCTTTTTTTTCCCCTTTTCAGACCACCTTTCATTATGACTCAGGGTACTGGAGCAATAAAACTGAATACAACATTCCTGGAGGGGTGACTTGGTTTGACTCACAAGAGACCAAGTTACCGACCTACTGAAACACTTCTTTCTCTAAGATCTGCCTTGGTATGAAGATCGGCCGACAAATGAGTTTCACCGTCGTCAACAGGCAGGCCAACTCCCTCTTCTCATTGATCGCTGACGGGGAATACACTAACAC